GCAATAAACTGTGTGAAGGAAACAAAAGTATCTCAGAGGGACGTGAGTTCTGATCAGGAGTGTTCTTTGTGGAAACAGTGTCGGCGCTGAACTCGGCTGCAGATGGCACCGGTTCAAGGCCAAGAGTGATGAGTGAAAGAAGACATGGTGTTGAGTCAGGCCGCCTCCAGGCTTTGTATGTTCTCTCTATACGTTCCCCAATAGAACATTTATCAAAACACTTACAATAACAACTCATCACAATCTGCCATGTTTCAAGCCAGTTGCAGCTTGTCTATAGAATTACTGTTGAATTAGTATAAAAACAACAACAACGACAACAATAAAAATGCAGCTAAAACAGCGGATTAATAATCACACAAATAATCAGAGTATCACTGAATGAATTTAGACAAATATCTAATCGCGCTACATTGGCCTTCACACAGCCCCCGACCAGCCGACTGAGGACAGGGATTACTGGCACCCTGTCCTGTGGTTGGACACCAAGGTAAACTTTGGTTTCAACGATGTCAAGCCCCTCCCTCCACAAACCGAGCCACAAAGCGGTATTCCAACGTGACGACAACCCAAACAAGACGCCGGTTCAGACGCAGGAGGAAGGAGATGGAGTGACCCAGACTATTTTCTTCTATGGAACTCCTCAAACAGAAGCTGAAGGAGCACAAAGCCAAAAGGCAGCAGCTCTATGATGTCGTCATGGAGGACTCAGGAGCCACCAGAGAGGTCCTGGTAAACTCCAAGATGAAAAGGCAAAAATATTGACACTTTGAGCATAATTTGGAAATTTTTCTTGTGGGTGTACTCACTTTTGTTGCCAGCAGTTTACTCAAGTATTTACACTGTTACATACGCTTGTGAATTTTACATTTTGGTCATCCCAACAGAAAGAGTCTTATAAAAGTGAAATGTTGATCAGATCAGAACATGCTGTCTTCATCCTGAGAGAAAACATGTTATTGTGCAAACTGTGAGTCACTGTAAGTCACTATTTGGCGCTTTGGGCGGAGAGCTGATGGGCTGAGTGAGGGTGGAGCACTCTTTTCACTAATATGTCTGAAAAAGATTAAGATAAAGAGATTAAGAGACCCCTTATTCGTCCCAGAGTGGGGAAATTTCAGTGTTGCGTCACAAGTTACAGTCAGAAGGAATGAGGATAAAATATTATTGACAGGATAAATTAATAATAACTCTATACTAAAATAATATCTCTAACTCTAGCATAAAAAGAAGCTGTATAAAATCTCTATCTTTAGCATAACAATACACAAAGTTCTGTTTTGTTTGATTCTCTGATCTGTGTCGGCAAATTCAACGGTTTTAAGTCCTCCGAGATAACTACTGTTGTGATTTAGGCTACACAAGAAAAAAAAATAACCCTAGCTTTAAACTATCAACGTTTCATTGGTCACAACATCCTTACAACAGGTTATAAATAAGCCGTGTTCCGGACTGCAGACAGATTATGGATGTAAACGGCACAAAGCAGTACAGTCCGTGTGGTCAGTAGTGGGATAAACCCGGTCTCTGCCCTCTGGTCGTTTCCACACCTCTCTGCACCAGCCCCCTCTTTTTAAATCCCTGCATTCTTTCATATTTTAGCAGTCTCTGAGAGTGGTTCTGTCGCTCCTGCGTCGGACCCCCACTGTGCACACACTCCTACTTTTACACAACTTTAAAAGAGCCGGGAACCGGATGGGCCGTATAATGTTTCAAAGCAGCACAGAGCAGTTTTGGTAATTGCCATCATGAAATCATTATCTTTTGACACTTGTGGCTCATTCTCATATAGTTAGAGTACTTGTCTCGATATTGATCTAAATATTGATCTAAACAATGTATTTTAAGAAACAATTGTATCGCTGTGCAAACAACAGACAAAGTTAGCTGTTTTTATTTGCTTTCAATAGCAAATGTGCAATCCAACATTGCCTTTTATCATTGCTCATTCAGAAAAGAGATTTGGTGGACGCAGTCAAAACATGCGGCGTGTCCTGATTATGATCCGTGGAAGCAGGTCTCAGCTTCAGGAGAATACAAATGACTCAAACATGCATGAATCGTTCTAAGAACAACTTTGAGAAGGGTAAGACAAAACAAGAGCCATGTCAAGATCCAAAAGATGTTGCACCTTATGTCCCCTTTAACGTTGGGTACCACATTTTCAAGCCCAAAAACTATGTATAAGAATCCATTCCTAGCTCAAAACAGCACTAGTTTTCAAATGCATGTTTTTTTTTGACCTCTGTCACATTTAGATCAGACAGAAAAGTGAAAAGTTAAGTAGAAAGGACCAATCTCAGTCAGCCAATCAGCTCTCAGCCCAAATACTGACTCACATGGCTCTGTCTGTGCGAAAATATATGATTTCTAAAAAGATTAAAAACAGAATAAAGTGGTCTAAACTTGTCCACAAAAGGCCAATGGGACTGAAGTATCATTTATGAAAGCAGGTATCCCAGCTTTAACGTGTGTCTAAAGGTCCTGGACGCCACTTCCGTCTCACTGTCCTCACTCATTCACAGAGTGGTGTTGTTCCAATCCCACTGCTTCAAAGGGCCCATGTCTGGATTCTGATTGGCTGAGTGACGGTGATGCTATCTTTTTCACTTTTCTGTCTGATCTGTGACAGAGGCCAAAAATACATGCATGTGAAAACTATACAGAGAAATAACTGGAGTCAGCTCTACTCTGGATGCTGTGAATCTGTATGAAAATCAGCACCAATGCTCCAGACGTTAAATGACAACACGGCCCTAGAGATATTTTACCTGTCAGCTCTGCCACAGATAAGTTACCCACCTTAACTTAAGACATTTTCTGGAACAAACATAACGCTGAAAGACCGTCCACCACACATTTCCCACTATTATCACACGCTGCACGTCTAAGAGCAGACATTCTTTTCCGCATGACTTTACGCATCTCAATCCTCCTGTCAGATTATCTCAGTGTCGCGGCTGCAACGTCTAAAAACACGACATGCAAGAATTCGAATGCAAACTCATTCATAAATATGCTCAATAGTAAATTATCAGATGGAGTGACTGGTCCAGAAAAGGGACAATAGTTTGACAATACTCTTTACTCTTATTTTTGCAGTCATTAGGCAGAGTTTTGGCTAGCTTCACTTTCCTTTTTTAAAGTAGTGCTTGTAAAAAAGAATATGGGTGAATATGTTTGCATTGCACATGGATGATAAAACTTGCTGTGGTCCAATATAAAGCGATTCTCTGGGGTCCTGGGTGCACCGACTTTAGACGACACGTTTTCTTTGTACGTTTATCTTGTCTGTGGTGAAAAGCTGATACAAAGCAGGGTCCAAACAACACACCAACCTTTCCCACAGCTGCTTTCCCCTATTCAGTCCATACTGTCCAAAGTCCATCATACCAGTGCATGGTCAGTAATCCACAACTGCTTATTTGCGTAGTGTAATTAAGGCTATACTTTATCTTAAAATAAAACTGTTTGGATCTAAAATGTTGAGTCTATGTTGTAATAATCTTCATCCATTCATCTTGTCTTTGAGTCTGTATATTGGCCCTGCATGTATAAATGCTGGATATGTATTTCAGGTTGTGTGGTTATTTGACAGCGTTCTCATACTGCAGGGTCCACATTACAACAGGAGCATTGGTAAATTGGTTTTATGGATCTTGGACCAAAAGATCACTAATAAAAATGGTTATTCCCTACCCTTACATTATTGTCAGTGTTTGCAGACACAGCACTGCCCAGGTTGTTTACCTGCTGTTTTACAAGCCTGGTTTCTTCATCTTTGTGCTGAATCAGACCAGAGCAGGCTGTGATTAAACCCCTCAAACCCGTTCACAATGCAGAATACCCACACATAGGCTCTTTGATGCCTGCAGTGTAGCTCAGCACATCGTAAAGACACAGCAACAGGTCCATGATAATGTGTTATTAGAATGTGAGCTGACACACGCTGCTTTTCATTAGCCCATGCTTCACTGACGGCCACATCACAACACGTAAGGCTAGTAAACTCTGTCCCATTAAATAATGAGCACAGATCCAGGCGTGTTGAGAGTTTGATATTTTACTGAGTCCTAATCCTGAGATGGAACTGAGGGCATGGCGCACAGAGAGCGCTGTTGTAGGAAGTTTCCGTAAAGGTCACGTGGAGTCAGCACTTTATAATTTGATGTGCACCGCTGCATGCCCTGCAGAGGCACCTCACTGAGCACACAGGCCGAGCCAAGCTGCACAAGAGCTGTAGAGCTGTGTTGCTCACAATCTAGATAGGCATATATATAAGTAAGATATACAGTGTGTGTGTTAAAGGTGTATAAGCCTGTTTAAATATGTGTTTATTGTCTATGCCAGTTGTATGTAAGCCTTCAAAATACAATGTTGTTTTTTCCCTGTCTTCTGTTACCAACATTATTGATAGAAAGTAAGACACAATCTTCAATCCAAACATGCAACTCTCATCGACTTGGTAAACTAAAAAAGTGCTCATGTACAAGTTGTGCGTGTTCAAATGTGACAGCTTCATGAGCTTTCCTTGGGAGCCACGTTTGGAACTTTTTAGCCCAAACAGCATTTTTTACATTTCACTTGCCCTGAGTAGGCTTGCATCCCCATAAACCTGATTTCCCCGACTTCCATCAAATGTTATTCTTTCTTACTTAGATCTGCCCTGTTTAACTTTCTCTCTATGATCAGATGACGCGCCAGAGTCACCTGCACTCCTGCAGGAAGTTACACAGTGTTGCTTTCAGAACTAAACTATTATGTGCAGTTCTTCGCTCTCACGATGGCCTGGCAAGGAAGACATGCGGCTTAGGACCCAGTGGTCATTCTAATCTACGGTCTGTGTTCAGATCAGTGCACATGTGGCCATTAACATGTTACAAACATGTTGCAGCGTGTCTCACTCATGGACCGTAGGACGCGGATACAGTGTATGTCACCGGGATGAATAACGTTGGTTGGTTGGTTGGTGGCACAGACTGTACTGTTGGTGGTCTCACCATATGGCGATGCGCTCCTTGGGGTAGTGCAGCTTCTCGATGCAGCCCAGCGTGTGCGGCAGACTGTGCTCTGCGTTCCTGGCCACAATAGCGACCATCACTTTCGGCTTCTGCAGAGACGACTCTGTCCTCAGCGGTTCCTGGACCTCCGTGACCAGCTCCGAGCGCACATCCAGAACCCAGAGAAGGACCACCGCGAGGGACACGAGCCCCAGAGAGCCCCCGGAGCCCCCGGAGCTGCCCACTGTCCGCAT